ATTGGTATCATCATCCGTGGTATCACCTTCATCATCATCATCACCACCACTATCACTACAAACACCACGATCATCATCATAGGTATCCATACATCATTACAAAGGTATTCTTAATTTTTTTCATAGTAGTGAAGATTTACCAACTAGTAAGCACATCTTACCTTATAAGCTTCAGGACTGGCATCRGCTTCAATAATCCTCTTCGATGGAAGTAGTGTGGGGCTCTTAACAGTTAAGGTGTCGTCTGGAAAAGAATAAGTAAAGATAGACGATCAACGATCACCTCCATTGGAAATGAAGATATGGAACAGTTGGGGAAGGGATTTGTGAATTGAACTAAACCAAGCGGGGTCAAAAACAAACCTCTTACCTTTTCGGGGTCAAAACTTACCAGATTTCTTTGGYTTTCCGAGTTTCTTGCCAAGTTGAAGTAACGGGGGAGCAGCTCCGAGAGCAATCTGCGCATTTTCTTCGGCTTCGGCATCTGCTTCTGCTTYCTCGACATAAAACCGATCCAACCTGAAGGATAAGCACAGAATATATGACTGTTAATCGTGTGTGAAAATATTTACCGCTTCAACACAAGTAACGGGAACAGCAGCAGCAGCAGTACTAAAGCACCGACAGTTAGAGCGCCAGCAATAATAGCACAGTYAAAGCACAACTGAGAACACCAATGGCATTAATGGCGCCAGCGCTGCAGTAGTAAGCAACAATAGCAACAACGACAGCAGCATCAGCACCAATTCAGTGTGTGTAACCATGTGACTCAAAATCCCTCGTGATATGAATAACGATGAAGCAACCGCCATGTTGGTTGATCTAACAAGAGAACCTAATGAGGAATGCTTTGTCATCGTTAACCACGTTGGTGGTTATGATGTAACACACATGTTTTATGATGCACATGCTTTATATCCTAAAACTAACGTGTTTTTGTAGGTTGGATMCATATTATATGACAAATGCGGAATCAACAACCTTGATTTTACTTTTCCCCAAGCTTTTGGGCTTAATGCCCATCGTCAGGGAAGATGTGTTTGACTACTTTTTTATKCATCAATAGCAACAGCAGCAGCGAAGGGACTGACAAAGACAACGACAAAAGCATCATTAACAAGGGCATCTACTCACTCTTCTCGCATATTTAAAGGAATAGCATAGATAGACGTTGCCATGGTGATCAACAAATGCACATAGGCTATCTTCAAGCGACTGGACAGTTGTGGTCCATATAATTTTGCAAGTTGTGGGGGCAGACGATACTCAAGTAGGTCGTTCATAACCTGTTACAAAGAAATTATAATTAGRCTGTCCTTAACATTCTTTGAAAGGGTGACGTAGCAGTAGTGTACTCGCCACTCACCTCTGGGTCTCGRRTTTAATATCTTTATTYCAGAGTTTTTCTCCAGGTTCTCTGATTTTCTTTACTCCGCAAGGTTATTTCAAGGCTTGACTTCACCAACCACTTCCTCCACCAACCCCACAACCCCTCCCACCCTAAAAAACTTCCAGAATCGAAAATCTTTTAACCTACCTCTAGGTTGCTTGCATCGGTGAGCGGTTTGTTATTAGCATAGGTGGTTTTGGTTTTCTGGAAGATGAAAATATAACATCAGATAATCGTAGAAAGTAACAGTACACTAAAATCTCTCTCTTCGTTCAGCTTTGCTCACACACTAAAATCACAATAAACATCCTTCGATTCAGACAAACTCGCCATCATTGCGCATTCTGTTAATAACAGAAATATCAAATCTTTGTTATCAGTGGTAATTCAAAGGAGTACTTCGACGATACGGCGGCCATCTTGAATCGCAAGGCATTATGTGGCGTACAGGGGGCAAATAAAGCTTTGTTACAGTAATGACGTCGATTGATATTAACAGCTGCCCACAAGAGAATACAACAAAGATGGATTAAGACGGCACATCGATCACCTTTACCCATAAAAGAAAGACAAACACACGAAACTTTTTTTTTCCGGTACAGTCCGTCTTATACATCGGACGCGCCATTATTTATTCTTCGCAATTGTTTATTCCGAGTAATTTACCTTATTTTTGGTCTCAACAGATCTAAGACCATCATGGCCTGCTCGAGGTAGTCGTTCGCCGTGCAGTAGATCAGACAGTACTGTAATGGCTTGTGAATATAATCCTAGGTCTGTCAGCACACGTGCCTTGAAAGATAAAGAGAAACGAATCATAACGACACAAAAATCCAAAATCCATATGAAAGTTTGTTTGAATTAGGGCAGGGGGGGAGGGGAGAAAGGGAGGGGGGAGTGGAGGGCATATACCACATCTTAGCCATTGTATTTCTCATATATTAAAAAACGGAGAGAAGTG